TTCAATTGATTTGTTGATGGGAATTAATGTGAATAAATTAACTCTAGGTTAACGGTACTCCTGCTATCACTACTCACCGACACTATAAACCTTGTCCCTCATGCTAGCCCTGACAACACCGGTAAGCACACCTTCATCTAGGCTGCACTGTTACGTGTCCTGACTTGTAGTGGTTCTCTCCTNAACTCTCCAAACAGGCGAAAAACCTACCAGTTTCACCCACTGTCTCTGCCACCTCCCTCCATGCCTGGTTCCTCCGGTTTGTATCCCGGTAAATAGTTCTGGTCGTAAAGAACCGGGTGATTTGCTACCGTAATTTGTCGTTTGGAATATGAGGAAATGTACTGCGGTCTGGCTCTGCCAGAGAACTATTTACCGGGATACAAACCGGAGGAACCAGGCATGGAGGGAGGTGGCAGAGACAGTGGGTGAAACTGGTAGGTTTTTCGCCTGTTTGGAGAGTTTATATCCAGTTTACTTCGTTTTAACATTGCTATTGCTTTGTATGTCAGGGGCGGGAGATTCATGTGATTGGTTGTTGGTCGCGTTGCTCGCAAAAAATCGCCAAGCTTCAGACACGCCCAGCTTCAAGATTTTTTGATGCCTGTAGTGTAGACGGGCCGTTATCCTTGCTGGAGGTTTCAGGTCCAAAGGTGAATCCATAGAATCCCTGTGGGATGCAGAAACTGGCAGAGAACTTTTTCGTGCAACAAACTCTCTGGAAAACTGACACATCATTTCCAGGATTATCCGCTTTGATAACAGAGACGACAGACCAGCTCGACGGCAGAGAGACAAGCTAGCTGCCATCAGGACGTTGTGGGACAAGTGGGTGCACCACCTCCCCCTGTTTTACAACCCTGGGCCTAATGTCACCATTGATGAGCATCTGATGCCATTTAGGGGCTGCTGCCCCTTTAGGCAGTATCTAAACCTGCAAAATAATGGGATAAAGATCTGGGCTGCCTGTGATGCCACTTCTTCATATGCTTGGAGTTTACAAGTCTACACAGGGAAACCTGATGGAGGAGCTCCTGAGAAAAATCAAGGAATGAGAGCTGTCCTGGACATGACTCAAGGACTCAGTGAACACAACATCACATGCAACCATTTTTTTTATCTCGCACAAGCTGGGACAGGATCTTCTAAAGAGGAAGCTCACCATGGTGGGAAAGATACAGAAAAACAAGTCTGAGCTCCCACTCCAACTGCTGATTTCAAAGAACAGGGCTGTCAAATCTTTCAAGTCTTTGTACACGGCTGACACGTCCCTGGTATCCTATGTGCTGAAGAAAGGCAAGCATGTGGTACTCATGAGTACACTGCACAAGGATGTGAGAATTTGTGGGCAAGAGCATAACAAACCAGAGATCATCATGGATTATAATGCCACAAAAGGAGGGGTGGACAACATGGACAAGCTGGTGACTGCCGACAGTTGCAAAAGGAGGACCCTACGCTGGCCACTGGTGATTTTCTTTGATATCTTGGACATCTCAGCTTACAACGCCTTTGTCATCTGGATGGCAGTGAACCCAGAGTGGAACAGAGGGAAGCTGCAGAGGAGACACCTCTTTCTTGAGGAACTGGGAAAGGCACTGGTGAAAGCTCAAATCCAGAGAAGGCAACATGTCCCGAGAACCCCAGCCTCTGCAGCCATCGTGAGGAGGATTCAGGAGGAGAATGCTGGCGCCCCATCCACCCGACCTACAGAACCACCATCTGCAGAGCCTGAAGTCAGTGTGTAATGCTGTTGCAGTACATGTCTGCCTTGAAACAGAGAGAGGTGATGGTAGAATTCCTGATCTTTTCATCTTTTCATTATTCTAGGTTGCCAGCAGCAACAAAAAGAAGCGCTGCGAAGAGTGCGGACCCAAGATGGACAGATAAACCCAATATACATGCATCAAGTGCAAGAAGTACATATGCAACACACACACAGTAAAACTGCCCCACATGTGTTATAGGCTTGTAAGAAAATACAATGTGTTAGATGGGGCTGAAGTTCTGTCTAGACTGACGGTTTGTGTTGTGTAAACTGACCTGAAAGGGTTACATTTCAAATGTTGTTCAAGTAAATAAAAATCTATAGTTATGAAAAACATTGCTTCTTTTGTACATTTTTGATTATAATTGGTTTTCTTTTTTTTATCACATTTTATAAATAAACAAACAGAAAACGAGTAGCACTTTAATTCATTAATGTGATCCAACAAATGTAAAAGGGCAAATATTAACCATGCTGTTTATATTCCTTGTAATTGAGATGAAGTAAACATCTGTTGAGTATTTTAACATAAAATAGTTTAATTGTGTTGAAACCCAAAAAGGTGGACACTGGCTGAATAACCACAAATATGAACATCACACAAGGGTTGATTATATAAAGTGTGAATAAGTTGTGAATTTCACCAAGGAATCAATAGAGTTTAATATACACATATTATAATGCATAAAATATAATTTCCAATATATTATCATTATTTATATGAATCTAAAACGTAAAAGTAACTAAAACAAAACTATACTTGTATTGGAATAAAAAATAACAATATGTGCCTTTTAATTGTATTGGAGTAGTTGTAATATGTGGCAGAAAATGGAAATACTCAGGTAAAGTACAAGTACCCAAAGAATAAATGTACTTAGTAACTGTCCATCACTGTATGAATGTTATCATTGTCATAATGTCGAAGTGCCTTCTATGTTCCTACTCTTTTTTATGTTATCCTTGAACAGCTCAAATAATTCAGGATAAACATAATACAATTGTTGTTCATTTTTCTTCCTCTTTGTGTAGTTACTGTACCTTGTCTAAACGTTACTGTACCCAGTGTAATAATGGAATGTATTTTGTTTCGATTAGGGATGTATATCGTTTTACAATAACATGCAGTTGCTGCAGGGAAATTATAGCAAAGTAATAACATTTACTTTGGAATTCACATATTGAATGTGAGCACAGTCAGTCGACTATCAAGTATGAACAGAAAACATTGATAATGTTTGTGTAACTGGCTCTTAGCTATCTTGTTTGTTTGTTTTTAGCTCTAAGTACCAACTCTGCCTGCTCCCATGACTTTAACCGATTGAATTTTTAATACAAAGCCAAAGAAAATATCATCTAAAAAAAAAAAAAAACCTAGCAAACTATGGAAATCTACATATTGCAATTAACATAGAGTTGGGAGGCATAGCAAATATTCTCTGGTGATAATCATCCGTCGGTCTCCAAAGTCATTTATTATGCTCAACCTGTGGAACAATATTTTTCGACCCATTTCTGCATTCAGCGAGAATATTCTCACAGCCTTGAATGGCTCTATGAGACAACAGGCTGTATTCTCCCAACCTCAACCAAGGTCATCTAACCATGTGATACTGATAAGAGTTCTATTCTGATGGGAAATGTTGAGAAATAAGTGGTGTGGGGGGGTGGAGAATAGAGGTTAGAAAGAGGCGCTGGAGGTGGCATGCAGAGCTTTCTTGTTGAAAGGGGTTATAGAGTTGGAGGTACACTGAAAAAACTGAACCGCTGACTTTAATTAAATGTATTACAGTATGCCTATACATTTCACATAACTGTATTAGGTCAGTTGAAAGCAATAATATTAAGTTGAACATAATATGTTTTTATTTAAACATAATATTGTTGCTTTCAACAAACCTAATACAGTTATGTGAAATCTGTTGACATCATACATTCAATTAAAGTCAACGGTTCAGTTTTTTCAGTGTAGCAGCGGTAGATTTTCAGCCCGTTTTTGGTGGAAAACCTCTCCAAAGTTGGCGGATTAGATGGTAGTGCTGCATAATCAATGTAATTAACGGCTTATTATACCCCCCGCATGTGAAAAAGCCTTTGCATAGCAGACTGGCAAACTGAGAGGGTACTTAGAATAAATAAAGCACTGCAACATTGTGAAAAGCAATCATATTTTACCTAGCACAGTGAGTTCAGCGATCTCACTCTCCCTCTCTCCCACCATGTTGGTTCCAACGCAGATGTACTTCCCCGCATCACTCTTCCTGGTGTTGGTGATCATCAGCTTGCCACTGCGGATCTAGGAAAAGGCACAAATAAATATGTTTTTTTGTATATCATCTACTACACTGTGTTTGCACTGTGTTCGTGAGTTTCAGAGTGAGCTTGGCACTTTTATAATGTACGTAATAGTAGGCTGGTTAGAGAAACAATAATTGATACAGCAGAATAAAGCCATATTTTGTACTAGTGCATGGACACTAAATATCAACGTTTTCTTATATAGATTTTATATATTGCAAATAGAAATGATGTTTTTCCAGGCCACTATATGTTACTGATTTTATATGTTTTTTCTGATATGGTTAGCTAGATTAACAGGAAGATGGTCAATACAAAGATTATAAAAATATATCCAAAATGCGCAAAAAAAAGTTGCTTATGCGATGTAAAATAGGTGGACAAACTGCATATCTTAAAGTTGATAAAAGGATAATAAATCTGAATATATTTCCTAGTTTACCGAGTGTGTGACGGTTTGAATTCCCTACATTCTATATCTCAACATGAACAAAAACAAAAGTTGTCATCACATAATATTGCAGCGCCACCTAGACAAGCATTGAAGACATAGATGTTACTGTACCTCAATTGTCAGCATAAATCTAAGTAATATTGTACCATGATTTTAGTTTTGTTATAATATCTTATTAAGGGGCCTCTGGTGATTACCAATAATAATATGGCCAACATTTATTTTTCTATAAATGAGTTCAGGTTAACTTCTGACCCCCAAATATAATCACATCTTTGGCTATATGTCATTTTGAAATATAAATGTGTATGCGCTTGACGGCACAACACTAAGCAATACGTGTGTGCATCTGTATGCACCTCTGTATCTGAGGAATAATATTTGCACTGCCTTTCAAGCTGCACAGAAGGTCACCCATTACAAAATTACATAATTCATATCTAGTGCTACATTAGCACAGAACCCTGGGAACAAAGACACTCGCTCTTTGTAGAGACCTTCCTCAGATGTTCAGTCAGCTTTCTTTGCCTCTCCCAAACTTATCTGCACACACACACACACACACACACACACACACACACACACACACACACACACACACACACACACACACACACACACACACACACACACACACACACACACATAGACGAGCAGACTTTCCCACACAACAAAGAGGCGGCACATACAAAGATATATGCACTCCATTCTGTTTTCAATCTTTTTCAAATCCTATCCACCAGACGCCTCTACAGACTAAGGCTTTATAGTGCTTTCAGTGTCAGCAGGCATGATACTATAGCAGGTAAACACGGCAATGTGAAGATAAGGCGGCCATCCCCCGCACCCAGACATCTGAAACATTCCCCTAGCCATTCAATTAAACTTTCAACCTCCATATTATGGCTTAAAATCACTTTCTTCCTACTCGCACTGAGCATGGGCATCCATCTATTCAGAGACACACACAGCATGCAATAGTTATTTCAGTTTTTTTCTTAACAGAGGTCAAAGGGCAAGGCTGCCTACAGTGCTGCGCCCGTGAAGCAGGCAGGGGAGTGAGCGTCATGGCAGAGAGCACCTGGTCTGGTGAACACTCTCCACTCACCACGTAGACTACATCATTAAATATCTACTGCAGGGATGAGACCAACAGCATTGCATTCATTAGTCAGCCTTCTCCGGGCTAACCTTCCACCACAAACTGTTCATACTGTACAGCAAATAAATGACAACTAAGAGTGGCCTAACTACGGCTGACATTCTAAATGGGTTGCAAATGATGTGGTTTTTAGAGGAAGATTTAACAGACTGTGGTTTGGTTCTATGTACGGTTTTATACAAAATGCCAACCACTAGTGATCATAAGGAGCAAGTGGGGGAAATTGGAAACTGGTATTGCAAATTCAGCAATTCCTGTTGGTATCCAATGGACTAGATTTGGATTCATCGTAGAGTCATGCAAAACGTTCTGATTCTACATGACTGGAACTACGTGTGCACGATTGCAAACAGCGGTTATGCTGCCATAGATAAAATATGAAATCATTGTTGGATTCCTAGAAAGTCTGACATGTACTACAAGAGACAAACAGTGTTTAATTGGACCATAACATATTAAACCAGTCAATAAAATGAATCTCTCTTTCACTCTCTTTTTGTTCTTAATAAAATATATTTTGATTTGTTTCATCTGATCTATACGGAAGATGATTAGGGTCACATGTAAAATAAACATTTGAGATCTGACCAAAAGTGTTATTTTATATTATATATATATATATTAGTTATGAGATTGAATTCCGAAATCTGAGTTTTATCTCAGGTTTTATTCTCAGTATTCAGACTTTTTTTAAGTCAGAAAAAGTATTTTTTAAATTCTGAACTTATTCCCCGAAATCACATTTGGCCTTAATCCTCTTCCGTAGAGCTTCTAACCCCAGCCCAACCCGAGAGCCGGTGGGCATATTACATTAGGATGTGCTTCCTTGAAGTTGGTGCAATTTATTTGTGGACCATTCTATAGCCCTATAAATAATATAGTTCAGTTTTTATGTATGAATTTGCACATGAAAGATGATATAATTGCATGAACTTCTAATTTACATTAATAAAGCTGCAAATATAGAATAGTGGAACCTATGACATGTAGACATACAATAAACGCCTCCTTTCCAGTTACTTGAATGTCACTAGATACATGTATTATTTGCTCATAATCTTTCCGACAACCGCGTTTTCCATTTCAGTGAGCAATCACTAATATTTTTCATTAAATGCATAGCATAGCAATATTAAAATCAGGAAATTGGGGTTACCCAGCTGAACCCTGGACAAAGAGATTTGTGTCTTAGATTCATTGGGTATGGAGCATATGTAATGACTGTCTCTTTATTAGGCAATATCACCTTTTGTGGCATCGTCATAATGCCTGTAAAGTATTCGTAAAGGACTGCAAAGATGAAAGCATTGAGTATATACTTTTTGTATCCATTTTGGTGTTTGCTGTAAATACTGCTGCACTAGTAACTTTAGCAGCTGATTAAAGAGCAGACCAAGAGGTTTTTTTTTTTCATTTCCTGGACTGACCACTCCATTTCTAAGAAATCCAAATGCGGTTTGTCCATCCTCCATCTCCCTCAGCCTTTCATTTTTGCTCTGTGTCCTCTTTCCTCTTCACATAGCCTGAAGGCACATTCTGAAGCTGCTATGGTGTGATTTACATGTATTTTTAAGGCACCTTCACTCACTCTTTCAAAATGTAAACCAACACACTTTCCATGTGTGTGTGAGAGAGTCTTTTCAAAAACCGCTATTAAGAATTAACTCACAACTTTATCCAAGTATCAGTATTAATAAATGATGGTCACGAGGGAAACACTCAAAAGGATGGAAAGTTGCCACGAATCGCTTGCGGTGGACTTCTTTACTCTTTGTACAGTAAGTGATGTCTTTGAGTGAACTCTCACGGCAAAGACATATTTCCATACAGAGAAGATGATTAGGGAGGACGAAGACAGGCATGCAGAAAGTACAAAGCAAAAAGCAGCCTTTGTATTTCTCTCAGAGGAGCCCCCCCCCCCTTATACAAAGTAAAACAACATTCAAACATCAGGGGACGGTTCGTAAGAGGAGAGATCAAATCGTATGAAGTCGCGGGCTGAAGTGAGTCGGAACCAAACAACCCGGGCGGATTCTTTTGGAGCTAAAATTTCCCCGGTCTTTTTGACACTTTATTGATGGCGATTCTGCCAATTGAATGCGTTCACCTTTGGCGTTGGTTTTTGCCGGTACGTGTCCGTGCCCTGGCAAAATTTGGCGCGAGGCCACGACAAATCACCTTTACGCGGTATTCTCGGTAAGAAGATCCTCCACGGTCAAGTCAAGGACTCGGTTGACACCTCCTCGAGAATTCGTTCGTTGGTTTCACGGGAGATGTGGTTGAAACCCGTGACATATTTTGACGCGCGACGAGGAATAAGTCCTATAAGTAATTAATTTTAGGAGGTAAGCTAGGTAAAGATTAAAGATAAAGACTAACCAGTGAACTTGAGTCTGAGCTGACGTTGACCACGAATGTAAACCTGATAACCGAGCCAAACATAATCTTTTTTACATATCTTCTCTGTTTTATTTGGAGTATAACCTTGGGTACGGAGCGACTCATAGTCGTTCTAATTAACTTTTACAGGGTACTTATTGGGTGTCTCCTAACTAAAACGTTTCTTTTATATTGGGTCACTTGTTTTTTTGACACTAATGACATTACCGCCATATACTGGGCTACCGTTGGTATTTCCCTTGTTCTCTTTTTATTGTTCGACCGAGATCGGTTACAGTACGGATATGGTGTCGTAAATAACAATTAACACTACATAATCGTCAACATGTAACACCCCACATGTCAATGGTGTTCCGTCACTAAAGGAAAAGGTAACAAGAACATTATGTGTGTTAACTAATTTATGGGTCTCCGCCAGACTAATCCTGTCCGGCCGTCCCCCTTGTCCGAAGAGGAAGGAAACTGGGTTATCCGTCGAAGTATACTAAAAGATACACACACATACTGAAACAAATAACTTACACATGTGTGAGGATCCCTGAGTGTTTTCCGTCTAAGTTTCGAGTAAAAATCACGCCCACCCTGTCCATCTCAGAGGAGAACCCCCTGAACCACTACCTGTCTCGTTCGATCCGAGACTAATTCCCTACCTAG